TTTGGCTGATGATCACAACAACGTGAAACCCAGTGTTACAAACTAATATACATAAAATTACACACACACACACACACACACACACGCATATATATATATATATATATATATATATATATATATATATATATATATATATTGTATGGATTTGAATTTGTAACAATGGGTTTCATGCTTTTGCGATCATCAGCCAAACAGATTTATTTTTTTAAATTGAATCTATTTATTTTAGTTTGTGTTTGATTGTGTTTGTTGTTGATGGTGGAGGAGGAAAATTCTCCTCTGTGTCCGTTTTGAGATGACACTCATACGCACGAAACATACATACATACATACAGATGTACGCATTATAGTTCACACACACATATAAACAACGCGAGATTAGGCGCAGATATTTATCCATGTGTTCGAGCATACATACATACGCAATTGTAATCCTATTTTGGTGTTGAGACTATATGTGGCGAAGTTCTTTCAAGAAGGTGAAGGTTTGTGTGTTCTTTGCTCCTTTCAGATTAACCGTCTGTATCGTCAAACGGAATAACACTACTTCACACACACACATACACACACATGTATAGGTGCACATGCATTTTTATTCGTCTGGGACTTGCATCACGATAAGTACAGTGCATATATAATATATCTATATATAATATATATATAGAAATTATACACACACACACACACACATATACATATATATATATATATATATATATATATATATATATATATATATATGTAGGCTGCAATTTTTAATTTGTATAAGTTTAGTTAAGACTTTTTAATTTTTTCTATTTTCAAACCATTTTCTTTATTTCCGATAAAATCTTGAATATGAAATGTCAATTGTCCGATATCATTCCTCTTTCATAAGTCATTATCATAGAGATACGTTTTTGTTTTTTTGTGCTTGGTCGGTTTCATCGTTTTACAAATATCGCGTCTACACGCGTGATGTCAATTTTTAACTATCATTTCACACACACATACACACATATATATATATATTTAAACTACCGTACTGCACACACACACGCACGCACACACACACACACACACACACACACACACACTCACATATATATGTGAGTGTGTGTGTGTGATGTGTCAGCCATTTTAATCAGAATTTTTGTTAAACCCGTCCCAGTGCAGTTAGTTTCATCTTTAACCCTTTGAGTCCTGACTGCCTGAGCCAAAATTCGCGAATTGGTATCTAATTTTTTCACGGTAGATATAAAAATAGTTACAAGTGTTTACCCACCGTTCAACCGGTGGCTGGGCAATAAGTCATTTTTCTCTACCACCATTCAACCGGTGGCTGGGCATTACGTCATTTTTCTCTACCATGAATAAAGATATGGTCAGGGCTCAAAGGTTTAAAAGCTTTCTTACCTACACGGCGATGTGCCAGACCAAGTTGAACACCTGTCTATATTTTTAAGATAAGGTATTCTGTTTGCACTATTTTACATTGTTCGAACTGTTGTCCTCACCGCATATCACCTGATGATGGCTGTAGTGTACATCGGTCGAAACGTTGTGAATACGACAGCAAAGGTGAGGTCAACAGTTCGAATAATGTAAATAGAGTAAATAGATTAAGTTGAGTTTGTTAAACCGTGGCTTGAACTGACGCTACCACCATAAGTGTTGCTATGTGACCGAACACTTCTGCTGCCGTTGCTGCAAATAAGATTGCCTCCATGAAAGTGTAAAAAAAACCTCTTCGTACCATCCATTCTATACTAATGACAAAAGACCGTTGTGGAGCATGAATATAACGGAATATGGGCACCTTCATATATATCAGGGTCCCACTGTAAAATAATAAACGAATCACCATAGTTGCATATTGCTATATGTTCTCATTGGCGTGGTTTCAGCCAGAATTTCGCAAGGTGATTTTCAAGGCTTTTTGGAAGATTGGTCCACTGTTATTTTCTTACGTCACCCATTTTACTAAGCTTAGGTTAGTCAATATCGACAAGACAAAACTTCGTCAACAAGAATTTTCTTCACAAAATATCATTCTTAAGGTGAAAACGTCTAATATACAAACATATATATATATATATATATATATATATATATATATATATATATATATATATATATATATATATATATATATATATATATTTCTCTGTATCCTTGGAAACAGGAAATTATGAATTTATATGTGCGTTTACAATTCAGTAAATTTAAGAATAATTTATTCCAAAATTCGCTTGAAGATGAAACAGAAATAATGCCTTTAATTTAATTATATAATTAAATTTGAAGTTTTTAGCTTCAGTTTTTGAAACATGGTTATTACTGTGTAGCGAAGAAACCATATTTTAAATCAGTTAATTCAAAATATTTATGCTCTGTAAATTCACATTGAGCACTGTTTTGTAAAAATAATATCAATAAGAACACCGGATTATATATCTTACTGTTGTTTCTTTATATATATATATATATATATATATATATATATATATATATATATATATATATATATATATAACAGTTATTGCGTTTCACCAATAAACAGTCAATTCAGTGTATTTTGAGAGATACCGTTTTTAAAGTTAGCAGTCTCAGTAAGTAAAAAACCCCAATATTGAGAGATTGAGTATTCATACCAATAAATGAAATAACTTAAACATTTCAGTTTATTCATATATATATATATATATATATATATATATATATATATGATAAAAATACCGTTTTAATGTATAATATATTAATGTGTAAAAAGTGCTCAATATCAAGGACATGGCATATGTAAATAGACCTCATTACCCACAATGCTCTATTGACCAACATAAATAAATAGTCGAGCGAAAACATAACCCACATCGCCTGAGGATGGCGTTTATGCATGAAACAAACTGTCGCCGTTCGGAGATCACCTCAAATATATATATATATATATATATATATATATATATATATATATATATATATATATGGGGGGAGAGAGATAGAGAGATGAATGTATGCATCGATGAATAGATGTAGTCAAATGATAAAATTATATATATACAAAGAAAATCAACAAAAAAGAAATATACAAAACAAATGAATTAATAAATCAACAGAATAATATATATATTTACACACACATAAGCGTGTGTGTGTGTATATATATATATGTGTGAACTCCGAATAACGATAGTCTGTTTCATTGATGAGCGCAAGCTTCATGGCCTAAAGATTAGGTCCTAGTATGTGCGCACATACATAAGCTATATCCCTGATATTGAGTACATTTACCTTATAAATATAGCATACCTTTAAACTATATTTTATTACACAAACACATACACGTATATATATATATATATATAATAATATTTTTTGTTTAAAAATATGATTCCTTCGATACATAAGAGTTCTCATGTTTCAAAAACGAGGTAGAAGCCATCCAAATAATTATTAAAATTAAGTTGAATTGAGGTGTTTAGTCCCGTTTCAATTCAACTTTATTTCAATAATTATTTGGATGGCTTCAACTCTAATTTGAAACATGAGAACTCTTATCTAACGAAGGAATTATATTTTAAAAAAAAATTAATATAATAAACTCTACTTCTGTATGGAGCACTGTCTTCTTAAAAATAAAAAACAAAAAATACTAAGGAACTCCGGATTATGCACCCAACGTGTTTCTTTCTTTTTCTGTATACCTGCTTATACATATATATATATATATATATATATATATATATATATATATATATATATATATATATATATACATGTACATGGAGAGAGAGAAAGACAGTGTGCATTTAAGAAAGAAAATTTCATGTCAGTTTACGCCTTAACAGAGTTTTAAAAACACACACACACACGCGCGTGCACACACACACACACACACACACACACACACACACATATATATATATATATATATATATATATATATATATATATATATATATATAAGTATGTATGTATGTATTAATAAATATACATATTTCTCACAGGTAGCACTCATTTAGACATTAAAGATACCGGAATTTAAGTGTTACCTGTGAGGAATAATATGTATATTTATTAATATATATAATATACTCTGTTATATTACTTTGAGCACTATTTTATTAACATAGCTCTCAATATATATATATATATATATATATATATATATATATATATATATATATATATATATATATATATAAAAGTAGAAAGTGAAGATTCCGAATATATAACGGATAAATAACGAATGATCATTGGCTTGAAGACGTTAAGATTGTAGTATTTGGGGAAAAATCAACATATATTTACCAAGTAAATTAAAATCTACACGAATGGAAGAAAGTCTCTTGTCATGTCATTCATAGAAAGAACATCACACAAAGTATTGAAAGATAGTACAAACCTTATCTTCGTGTTTGACCTGGGTCTAAAAACGTCGAATGACCTGGGATGTTCTTCCAATCAAGTGAAACTGTGTAATGTTTGTGTCATTCCAACAAAGTTAGAGGGAGGAAGTAGACTTTGATCAAATATAGGCATGTGACTTTATTTTTTTATTTTTCTTTCTATCTTTCTTTCTATCTTTCTTTCTATCTTTCTTTCTTTCTTTCTTTCTTTCTTTTTATTATCTTTGTTAGAAAACCGTCTGTCAACAAATGAACATTGCTTGTTCGACTCTTGCTCTGTACTTGTATCAGGGGAAAAAAACAAAAACAAAAAAACCAAACTCAGCCGACATTACCAAACCTGCCCGCCATATTTTTATTTTCTTCAGATAGCCTCATACCACCCTCCCCTTTTAATTTCTTCATCGATTTTCTTCATTTATTCGTTTCTTTGTTTCTTCTTTTTTTGTTCTTTAGTTAAAAGATTTTTTCTTCCTGTTGGAAGGAAGACATGAGTTTGTAGCCATCGATTGCTCGGCTTTAGTAAAAGAAAGAAAGAAAGAAAGAAAGAAAGAAAGAAAGAAAGAAAGAAAGAAAGAAAGAAAGAAAAATAAATAACAAAATGCGCTTATGTTGGTCGGCAAGGTTGCCGCTGACGAACCAGTGGACCGTGATTTTCACCATTTCTTCCCACCTTTGCATCCTTGCCCTTTCCCCACCTTGCTTCAACTCGCGGCTAAGATGGGCTGTTCACATGCCCTGTTGTCCATTCACGCGTCATTGACTCAATGGAGATAGTGACTTTGTCGTAATACAGTTTTTACTTTTCACTGCCCACAGCTTTGTGGAGGGCATTTCAAGCGACGTGAATTCCGATTAGCGACACAATGCTGATAGTTATTGGGACTCGGTCCTACGCTTATTCAACAAAACTCCCCCAATACTCCATCCTCATCCCCCCCTCTTTCTCTCTCTTTCGCTGCTTTTTAGTGTTTTTCGCCTCATCCTTACTTTATTCAGCCGATCTAAAAACTTAGTATTGTCAATGATTTTCATTTTTTTCTCTACTTAAGCGTCTTTCTTTCGTTCTTGCTTGCTTTCTCCATCCTTTCTTCCTTTCTTTTTTCTTTTCTTTTCTTTTCTTTCTTTCTTTCTTTCTTTCCATTCCACACTCTTTCTTTTTTTCTTTTTTCTTTCATTAATTTGTTCTTTGTTTCTATTTCGTATTCTTTTCCATTTACTTTTTCTTTCTTTTTTCTTTTTCTTCATTCATTATTGATTTCTTTCCATTCTTTACTCTTTCTTTTTCTCTTTTTATTTTTTCATTAATTTGTTCTTTCTTTCTTTCTTTCTTTCTTTCTTTCTTTCTTTCTTTCTAGTTCGTATTCTTTTACCTTTACTTTCTTTCTTTCTTTCTTTCTTTCGATTCCGTACTCTTTCTCTCTGTTTTGTTCTTTCTTTCTTTCTTTCTTTCTTTCTTTCTTTCTTTCTTTCTTTCTTTCTTTCTTTCTTTCTTTCAATTCCGTACTCTTTCTCTCTGATTTCTTCTTTACTTCATTTGTTCTTTCTTTCTTTCTTTCTTTCTTTATTTCTTTATATTCCGTACTCTTTCTCTCTGATTTCTTCTTTACTTTCTTTCTTTCTTTCTTTCTTTCTTTCTTTCTTTCTTTCTTTCTTTATTTATTTTTTCTTTATTTCTTTGTTCTTTCTTTCTTTCTTTTTTTCTCTCTTTTTTCTTACTTTTCTCTCTTTTTTTCTTTCTTTTTTTTTTTTTCTTTCTTTCTTTCTTTCTTTCTTTCTTTCTTTCCATTCTACAATCTCTTTTTTACTTGTTCTTTTTCCCCTTCATTCCCACCTTCCTTACCTCTTTCTGTTCATGCACTTTTTATTCCCATTCATTCAACCCTTTATTTTCCCTTTAGCAAATACAAAATCGGCTTATGATTTGTTTCTTCAATTTAGATCTTTAATATTCTTCAGACTTCAAATGGTTTCTTTGATTTTCACTGTTTTCCTAGCCAATCGATCTCAATATATGCAATTCTATACATCTTCTTTTTGTAAAATCCTTTCATCTTCTTGTCTTCAATCTAGCCGATCTCATTTCTATCCCAGTGCCAATTGGTGCTGATGCGACTAATAATAACTTAACAGATGCAATCTTTTATTTCCACGTTTTGATCAAATAACATTAATAATTAATAAACTGATATGATTATTTTCAGAGAACTTATTTTTAAAACAGAATTAATAAATTTTGTAAATATTTTATAGCCAAAAATTATTTTGAAACACAGAGGATTATATCAAGAAGAAGCACAACATTTTTATATTTCGCTATAAAGGCTCGAAAAAATAAATATACTTTTTAAAAACTGAACAAATGATTAATATACAAAAATTCTTTAAAATTATCAAAAACCAATCGATTGCATTCTGTTTGTGGATGAAGTCCTGCTTAAAACATAGCAAACACTGCGTCTCACGGTTTTTTCCCACTTCATATTTTAACTATACATAAATTACTTACTCTAATCTAAAGATTTATTTGTTGAAAGATGGCAACATATCTGCACAGTTTGGATGAAAGCCAGTTCATTCTGCGCAGGTGTAAATCTTTGGTCCCTCGACGAATTTAAGCGCAGTACGAATTTAAGTTGCTAGGTCACATCATTTTACAGTTGAAATGGCTTGATGCAACCGTAAGTTCTATGCTAAAACTTTCTTCTCACGCACTTCTGACTTGTGAAATTCTCTTTCGGCCTCCTGCGTTCCTGTCAACTTTTTATCTTGCAAAATCTAAATGCAGTGTCAATTGCTATCTCCCGTCTTCTTAATTTCTTTTATCATTCTCTGTCCTTAATAATGCTTTTCTTTTTTTTTCATATAGCCTTGTTTGGGGTGAAATGATTAAAAACGTCAAACTATGTCTCTCATCTTCTTCAATAGGATTTTACACACGCCGTACGTTCAAATGAAGACATTTCTATATACACACCTTTAATATCTTTTTATATAATTTCTATTTAGTTTTTGTTATGTTATTAATTGTACAATATCGTTTGATTTCAGTATTATGTCCTGTTCGAGAAAGCATCCCATAATATCATTACACAATGTTCCTAATATAAACATACACCCTGTCAGTAAGTGATACAGTGTGACCCGGATATAAGAGAGTTGTCGGGACCGGAGAAGAAGTCTCTTATATCCGGGCTTCTCTTATATCCGGGTTTCTCTTATATCCGGGTTTGATCTATTTTATATACATTAACACAGGCTCTAATTTGGGACCAGAGAAAATCTCTCTCCGGGTTTCTCTTATATCCGGGTTTCTCTTATATCTGGGTCTCTTATATCCGGGTCTCTTATATCCGGGTTACACTGTATCTCTCAACAATGAATTATAATAGCAACAAGATGGCAACCCGGCTGCAAATATAGCACTTTTTTTCCCAAAGGCAGTGCAGAATTTGCCATTGTGCATAGGTGTGCTTAAACAAAAGGCCCCGTTGACCGGGTAGGGAGGGGCATATTCCATCCATGCCTGTGTAGGCATGTCGGGCTTACCTCCTTCAGGGCCCAAGTAAGGTGCTTCGTAACTCTACTAGCTCATTACGTTTTAAAGAGAAAATGTACTGAAAATTAAAAAAAAAATAACAACTGGAATTGTCATGTTTTAACTGTTAACAATTTGTCACTTGATTAATATATAACCAAGAAACAAATAAAAAAATGCGTTGTGTCATTTTGATTTTAACTAGCTGGCTTTTTCTTTCATTTTTTAAATATTTTTCATCCAGTTCAAGGCCTAAGAGCGACTGAAGGTCAAGGGTTATTAAATGAGGTTGTTGTCCAGGAAAGCAGTTTAGTTGGAAACATCATGCCTGAGCGGGGATCCCAGACACCGAAACAAGCTCACGAGTTTGGGAAAACTAAAGAAACTAAATGAAATCGACTACACTCAAAACACACACACACACACACACACACACACAAAACACACACACACACACACACACACACACACATATATATATATATATATATATATATATATGAAAGTGAACAATAAAGGCGACAGGCTGTTTCATGCTAGACGCAATAGTCAGGCCACCTGATTGCGTCTAGCATGAAACAGCCTGTCGCCTCTAAGTGTTGACATCAATGTTCACTTTTATATTTACACACGCTCTATCTCTGATATTGAGCACTTTATCCCATAAATATAACACACCTTAAGAGAATATTTCTTCATATATATATATATATATATATATATATATAGAGAGAGAGAGAGAGAGAGAGAGAAGAAAAATATTTTTATTTTTTTCTTAATTTCCTTGTGTCCTCGTGCCTATGGGTATCAACGGTATTCTGGTTAATGGCTCTCCAATACGATCTACACCCTATATTTTATCATATTTACACAACTTCTGGTGGCTTTCTATTTTATCTAGAGACACCCCGTCCTGGGTATGACGATAATATACATCCGGCAGCAAGGCCTCTGATGATGAGATTTTGAAAGCACGAACCGCCTCTTAATTGCTGGTGTTCCCAGGTCCACCCTAACCCGAGGTGGTAGCACCTGTTAGGATCCCAGCTATAGGTAAATAGTTAACTCCCAAACTAAGGTCAAAAAACTATGAAAGTGTAAAAATAGGTTTTAATACCAGCAATATTTTTATAAAAAATTAATACTAGCAATTAATATTTGAGGAAGAATTATTGCCAGTGAAACATTATTAGTAGCAATACATTTTTTTTTAAATATTACGAGTAATACATTTTTGGACAAAAATATTACCAACAATAAAAATCTTGTCGGCATTAAATAACTCGTTGAGTTTGATATGTCGTAAAATAAAACAAACGAGGAACACCGTCTCAAAACCACATACGTTTTTGAATTCAGAATTTTCCTTCTCTAACATTACTTGCCAACCACGGCTAGATTGCACAGTTTGCCCTATTATTTATCTTGTGGGTTATCCCACTTGGTTCTGGCGTCCTGGGCAAGACGATAAATTACGTCCAACAGTAAGGCTACTGATCAGGAAGTTTTGAGGAGCGTGGAAGCATCTCTTAATTACTGGTGTTCTCAGGTCCAACCTGATCCGGGTTGGTAGCACCTGTTAGGGTCCCATCTATGGGCAAATAGTTAACAACCAAACTTGTGTAAAATTAGGTTTTAATACCAGAAATACTTTTATTAACAGCAATACTTAAAAAAAAAGTACCAGCAATATAAACAGCTATACATTCTTTAGAAAAAATATTACCAGCTATAAATTTCTTCAAGGAAAAATATTCCCAGAAATAGATTTTTGAAGAAAAAATATTACCAGCAATAAAAATTTTGTCGGTATTAAATAACCCATTGAGGCTGATATGCCGTAAAACAAACTAAACCAAACCACTTTGTTCTGCCAAAGCCTCATTTTAATTTTGTTTTATTGTTATCTGCTTTTGAAATTTGAAAATAACTTTTTACGCACCAGTTATTTATTATCGCCTGAGGAGGTACAACTAGGCAGCTGAAACATGAAAGCTATTGTGTAACTATTTTTTAATATGTTTTTGTTTTAATCTCTGTTGTGGCCGGGGTTAGAGACAGAAATAAATACACAAAAGAGAAGAATTGAGTTAACCAAATATATTAAAAGAAACAGTATTAGAAACATATACGAACGAGAGTGTTACAGAAATAATGTTCGGTCCGACTGTCAGAGCTGACTGCTGGAAACTTCCTGATATTTATTTCTATTTAAAATTACCATAACAATCTCATATATATATATATATATATATATATATATATATATATATATATATATATATAGTGTATATCTAGGCAGCAATTTTTCATTTCTTCCGCCTCTCGTATACACGAGTTTGTCGTTGCTTTGAAATTTTTCATGCAACAAAAACAAGACTATCATTATTGTTTTGTCCGTGTATTGTTTAATATATTGAAATGTAATTGTCATCTTTGATAATGGCCTATGTAAGCCGAAAGCTTAGATAGGATTAAAACATATATCAATATGGTAATTTCCTTTCGTCTTTCAATGATAATGTTATTAAGCTTATCAGACAATATGAAAGGAACTTAAAATAGACAAAACTTGTCTATATCATATAATGAAACATGCATCAATATATATATATATATATATATATATATATGAAAACAGCATGCTGTACTGCTTGGCATTCGCGCCGGAAGCTCAAATAATCTAATAGTAATTATGAAAGTGTTTGGAGCGATCACGAGTGATGGCAACGTTATGCCTTCATTCATCTTCCCACATGGATTCAGACTCAACACGAAGGCCTACATCAAGAGTTTTGAGGAAATAGTGCTGCCCTGAGTCAAGAGGGTGGCTGCTTCGTCATGGTACCTAGACTTTGTGAATTTAAGCGCTGTCCTAGACTGGCAACGGGGTGGGCTAGATGTAACCGTAAGTTCTATGACAATAGTTTCTTTTCTAGTGCATCTCACGTGTAGAACTCTCTTCTGACTTCAATCTACCTATCAACTTTAATCTTCAAAAATGTAAATGCAATGTCAATCGCTATCTTCTTTGCTTTTGATTACACTTCTTTTTTTCTTCATCCTTAGTAATGTTTCTGTTTCCTAATTCTTCCACGCCCAGTAATCCGTTGTGTCTTACCGACTTTACTGCCTTTCTTGGGGGTGATCCCTATTAAAAGAATAAAATGTAATATACGTAAGCGTCTTAAGTAAGAAAGCAAACCTCAACTTTGCTGCTTTGTACATGCCTAGATATTGGCCCATATTAGTTTATACTAACCGAATTGGAAAACCAGAATTCAAAATTTCGTCTGGCTGGGATTGAACACTGGAAAATCTGTCACTATTTCAAACAAAATATATGCCCATCAATTTCCACTACACATGCACACAGTCACACACA